CTTGAGGTACAAGACCAACAACTTGTCCTGTTCCCTTTCTGAGTTAAAAGAATAAAGGTAATGCAAACTCAAGGTACATTTGGCCTCCATTGGATTGCAAAATGGGGAAGCCTAACAGTGTCTAGTGTTGGCTTGGCTGTGGGACAGCAGAACTCTTACCTAGTGCAGGTAGGAGTATAAACCGGGGGTAGTCACTTTGGGGGAAAAATTGGCCACGCCTAGTAAAACAGAAGATACGCAGACCTGTGGCCAGGCAGTTCTACTCCTATTAGACACTTGCAAGAATATCTTGCCCATGCGCTGAATACAATTTCTACATTCGTATTCCTTAAGGCACTACTGGCAATACTGAGAAAGCAGATGCAAGTAAGTACCTGTCAGTAAGAGAATAGATGCCTAAGTTGTGGTATATTAATTCAGTGGAGTAATATACAGAAATGAAGAATGAATGAACTTCCTAGATACACATTTACCAACTTGGATGTATCTCCGAAACTTCATGTTGAGCAAACAAGCAAAATGTTGCAGAAAATCATTTACGGAATATTTTTAAAATATCCAAAATGCCTATATCGCTTGCAGGCACACACATACTCAGGTGTGCAGTACAGTTGTAGACCTTCAGGGGGATGATAAATACCAGATGGGGGGGGGCGGTTACCGGCGCAGGGATGGGGGGCAGTCACCCGGTAGGAGACACGGAGAATGTAGCCGTGCAGTTGGTGTTTTTGTTTTGGGGCTGCATTGTGACAACTGAGCTGTCCCTGTCTTAGTCTGCATCTTTTTGTGTGTCTTGAACACTGCCTAGGAAACAGTTTGTGTGGTGGAAAATCTAATCAGATTTTCTACGATACTATTATTCATATAAAATGTCCTGAAATTAGGACATGATGTGCCTTGAAAGAAAAAAATCATCTGGTTTTCTCTACTGCTCTGTCACAATTTGGAACCAGGGTGAGGCCTTTTAATGAGCGCTCCAATGACACTAGCCCTCGGGGCTGTCGTGGCCACCCTGAGCCTGGTTTCTTTTGTGACTTCAGACGGGCGTCAGTCAGCACCTCGGACAGCTCCGCGAGGTGGCTCCGCCGACTAAGTGGATCAAGCAGGTGTGTTTCTCTTGTCGGTCCCTGTGGGTCTGGAGCTGTGGTCCTAAACCTCGGCTTTGCTATTCTTCCCCTGCAGGAACCGTCCATGGGAAATACTGCTGCCCTCAGCTCTTCATCAACCACAGGTGTTTCTCGGGCCCTTACCTGAACAAAGGGAGGATCGCAGAGCTGCCCCAGTCAGTGGGACCTGGCAAATGTGTGCTGGTTCTCAAAGAGGTAAATCGCACGCGCACGGCCACAGTTGGCTTATTTTAACAGGATCTTGAAGCTGCAGGCACAGTTTCCAAAGGAGACCCCAGACGTTCGAAGCAACTGAGTTAAGATTTACCAACCATTCCTTCCTCTCGGCCCTGGGGGCTGGAAGCCACAGATGCAAAGATGAAAAATGACATTCCTGCCCATGGAAGACTCACAGTCTAGCAGGAGGGACATACGTTCCGTAAATTAAGGGGAAATGTTGCACTAGACTTCAGTAAAGTGCTCTGGGAAGACAGAAGAAAGATTCGTCGTGTGTGGAATGAGGGTTTAGGATTGAGGAGTCGGGTTTTGCAAAGAGCTGTGCCAGCCTGGAGAGGGATGGGGGACTTCACCAAGCAGCATGGAGTGTCACTAAGAATGGGTTGGGGTGGCATCTGTTTTTGTCCATCCGTCCCCAGCACGTGCAGCCCGCACGTAGGAGGTAATGATAAATGCTTTGACGCAGGTATGTTCACGAGATTTATGGCATGGGCCATGTCCAGGCCAAGCCTAGGCCGCCCACCAGGTGGAGGGTCTTATTTTCCATTTTTCTTGTGGCCTTCAAGAGAGGTGAATCCTGAGGGTGTCAGTGGAGGCTTTTTCTCTCCGTTGCGTTTTTATAGCTTAGCTTCAGGCAGTGCTTGGAAGCAGGCTGGAATTTTGGAACAGTTTCCAAACCTTCTTGGAACCTTAGCTCTGCCCTTTTTGTTAAACACACCTCACTGCTTTCTCTTAAGAAAGAAGACACCAAATAGAAGTCCTTTATTGCTGCTGTACCTTGATGAATGGTTTTTAATTGCATGGGCACAACAGTCTATCGATCCACTGAACAGATGTCTGTTAGGTGACTGTCAGGGGTCAGGGACCATTGGAAGCACTGGATCAAAAGCCAAACACACTGTCCCCTCTGCCCTTGAGGGGTTTTCTGATCTTGTTGGGGAGATGACACAACCCACAGTTAGATGCATAGTAGGGGGGCCCTTGCAAGGACCCGGAGCACAGTGCTGCGGGGGCAGAGCAGCAGTGACAGATACATGGCAAGTGACTTGATCTGGCTTAGGCAAAGCGCGTGGAATCTTGGTTGCTCACACAGGTGGGCGTTCAAGGTATTCATGCAAAGGAGGGACAGGGGTGGCTGGAGCACAGGAGCTCAGGCTGGAGATGAGTAATACGTACTAAAGGTGCATTGCATTTTGGAAAGAAAAGCAGAGCGGAATCTGGCCCGCCTGATGCTTCAGTGCGAGGTAGAACCGAGCGGATGGGATAGGCCTGCCTGGGAGAGGCTTTCTTCGGCGTGCGAAGCGATTTGGACTTGACTCTGTGGACGAGAGGAAACCCTCGGAGTGATGCTG